CCTGTGCCCCAGCAGTGGGGACATTAATAGGCTGATGATAATGATTGTTAGACTGGCTGTGGTAGTGTAACCTTGCAGTATTGCTATCATTAGCCCTGAGCTGAGTTTATTTGCCAGTTTTTCTCAGTACAAGGTCTCCCGCCGTAGATTTGCGAACCGATGGCGTAGCTTTCCAACATTCACGAATGCTTGTAACAGCCTCAACTGAATAAAGGATATTGAATTTTAATTGAACTTGTTATGTTTTTATGGAAAACTCGGACTTTACTCTTCATAAAAATGATCTTCTGTTACACTAGATAACGTAGAAACTTACAAGTTCACAACATTTAATATGTGATAGTTGAGTACAGAATACGCTACACTTGAAATTTAGTTGTGAAAAATGAAAATTTGTACGTTATAACGTACTAATTTTAGTCTACGCTTTAGTTTAATCAAATGTTATAAACTTTACTTTGGTGATTGTATTATTTAATTAAGCGATCTAATAATAATTAAAATTAATTGATTGGTATTGTATACAAGGTGATTCACAACGTTTGAAGTGTAGAACTCTGGCATCTACTACATATTTGGTTTCTGTGAATTGTGTAGGTAAAACTAATTATGAGACGAGAATATGACACTGCATTTGCGCATATCACAATGTTAAAGCCGGATGTTGACAATGCAGCCACTGCCAATTTTAGATAGTCGACGAATAAAAGTAAATTAATTTTTCATTTACTCCTAAAGTACTTAAAAGTGTGGGTTACCTACAATGCGAAGAGATGGCGCTGCCTTGCAGCTTAAGGCTAGGAAAATTTCGACGCGGCTAATAGGGCCGCGGTAGCATAATGGTCAGTGCATTCGCCCGGATAGCAAAGGATGCGGGTTCGAGTCCCGTCCGCTGCCTGGTCCGCGTGGATTTTTTTCTAGTAAACTTTTCTTTAGATTTAAACATCAAGCAGTTAAATGCTTAAAAAAAATGGGTGCGTGTACTTATGTAGGCGCGTGAGAAGTTATCCTTCTTTGGCATCGTTTAAAATTAGTTTTTAATTGCATGCAAATAATTAATTACAATAAATTAATAAAAAGTCTGGAAAAGGACACAGTCAATAAAGTTCAGTTTTAATTTGAAAAAAAAAAACAAAATATTCAATTAAAATCGCTACTGAATATAATTTATTAGAACATATGTGATTTGCACTTGTATGAAACTCAAACACGTATTCCGAATATACAAACTAGAAACATGTGGATAAATATTATAAATATGAATACCTATAACTGTTACTTTATTACAAAAAATAAAGATGTGGTTTTTGGTTCTACTACACCAATGGTCAAGAGATGGCGCTGTAGTCTCCTGAATCGCGCTTTGGTTCCGTTGTTCCAGATTAATAAATACTTTTTGTTACTTTATTACAAAAAATAAAGATGTGGTTTTTGGTTCTACTACACCAATGGTCAAGAGATGGCGCTGTAGTCTCCTGAATCGCGCTTTGGTTCCGTTGTTCCAGATTAATAAATACTTAAGAAAATATAACTAGAAAAAAATCCACGCGGACCAGGCAGCAGACGGGACTCGAACCCGCACCCTTCGCAATCCGGGCGAATGCACTGACCAATTATGCTACCGCGGCCCTCACGGACCGCGTCGAAATTCTTCTAGCCATTCTTAAGCTGCAAGGCAGCGCTATATCTTCGCATTATAGATAACCCACAATGTCAAATGCTTTTACAAGTATTAAACATTTGAAAGAAGAAATAGCAATTATAGTTATAATTTTCATTATTTTAAAGTATGTAACTGCTTGATGTTTAAATCTAAAGAAAATATAACTAGAAAAAAATCCACGCGGACCAGGCAGCAGACGGGACTCGAACCCGCACCCTTCGCAATCCGGGCGAATGCACTGACCAATTATGCTACCGCGGCCCTCACGGACCGCGTCGAAATTCTTCTAGCCATTCTTAAGCTGCAAGGCACCGCTATATCTTCGCATTATAGATAACCCACAATGTCAAATGAATACTTTTACAAGTATTAAACATTTGAAAGAAGAAATAGCAATTATAGTTATAATTTTCATTATTTTAAAGCATGTAACTGCTTGATGTTTAAATCTAAAGAAAATATAACTAGAAAAAAAAATGCCGCGGTAGCATAATTGGTCAGTGCATTCGCCCGGATTGCGAAGGGTGCGGGTTCGAGTCCCGTCTGCTGCCTGGTCCGCGTGGATTTTTTTCTAGTTATATTTTCTTTAGATTTAAACATCAAGCAGTTACATGCTTTAAAATAATGAAAATTATAACTATAATTGCTATTTCTTCTTTCAAATGTTTAATACTTGTAAAAGTATTCATTTGACATTGTGGGTTATCTATAATGCGAAGATATAGCGCTGCCTTGCAGCTTAAGAATGGCTAGAAGAATTTCGACGCGGTCCGTGAGGGCCGCGGTAGCATAATTGGTCAGTGCATTCGCCCGGATTGCGAAGGGTGCGGGTTCGAGTCCCGTCTGCTGCCTGGTCCGCGTGGATTTTTTTCTAGTTATATTTTCTTTAGATTTAAACATCAAGCAGTTACATGCTATAAAATAATGAAAATTATAATAAATACTTTTGATAGGCTTTCACAATGAAGTCGTTAGCACCCACTAAATAGAGATTCTATTTCTATTTTGTTGGTAGATTTTCTTAATGTGCGGTAAACACAAAAGTAACGCATGAAGTTGGTCGCTAAAGCGACCAACTTTTTGCTGTTAAAATTTTGTGTTACAGTGATGCGCGCGCATCTTAAAATTTCACTCTCATCAAATTTTCATAACGCGCCTAAAGAAGTATAACTTCAAAAATCATACTTAAAAGAACATAAGCAAAAGACGAGTTTTTGAATAAGTACTAGTTAACTATAAAATTTCCATGCATTAGATTATACATATAGGTAACGACTTGATTAACCTTACTGTATTAAGGTGCGAAAATAGAGGCCCATCTGTTGCCTTGACCCGGGTGGTAAGGTCACTATATGTCTTAATAAATCAATCGTTTAGACCACAGCAAGGTACTAAATAATCCCCACGATATTAACTCCCTTACAGAAGAGACAAGACTGCGTTGTATACCGTCTTATAATCCTTACTAAAAAGTGTGAAATAAAAAAGGTAAATTTAAAAAATCAAAAAACCTGACTGCTTAAATATTACTTCAAATAAAAAAACAAGTCCAGTAGTCTATAATTCTGTTAATAAGAAACAAAGCTACTTTAACAGTCGGGACCCATTATTGAAAAATTTTATGTATTCTTGAATATCTAATGGGTTCCGACTGTTAAAGTAGCTTTGTTCCTTATTAACAGAATTATAGACTACTGGACTTGTTTTTTTCTTTTCTGTTTTTATTTGAAGAAATATTAAAGCAGACGGGTTTTTTGATTTTTGTATTATGTTTTCGATTGGGTCCGCGGATCACCGGTTAAGAACCACTGATCTAACCGAATACGACGCCAATTTTAAGACAATATTTTGAACCATGTTTCTAAACTACGCACAATACCTACTTTCGCTAAGATAATTACTTACCTGACAATACTATTGATATTTTAATATCAGCTTTACTTATACCGTACTTAAATAAAACTTACGTACGTGTAAATATTAACTTTTGTGTGAGATTTTTTATTAAAAAGCCGTTGAGTATGTGCCAGATGCAAGATACAGTTTGTAATCTTTCTTCGTTCTTTTTATTAGCTTAATATTATTTTAATGCATTACTGTTCTATTATAATAAAACAGTATTTTGAGCTTTTTGCACACCTTCTCTATAGGTATTAACTTTTATAATACAAGAATCTAACAGAGAACAAAAAAATATAAAGCAGGGAAACGGAAGTTTGCCCTTCACGCATTAATATGATCCCTAACTCGGAACTTACTAACTTAATTAGGTTAACTCATAACACACAGAACTTAAACATCATAATGGATGAGAATAAAGGTAGTTTAATGTTACAAATTATAAGTGGAAATATTTAAATGACCCCCAAAAAAAATATTAATGATAACCTAAGAAATACAATTGGTTACTAATTGTATATTTTTGAGAAGCAATTACTAAAACATTCATGATATTTTAAAAATGTGTCAAAATAAGGTATATCACACTAAATAGTTTATGTAAATTATTAAAATAAAAATATTTAAATATATAATCCAAGCCAGACTTAAATTCGATGAAACGATCAGGTTTATATTTAATAAGAGCCTGCGGTGCAAACATCTCTAACAAACAGATAAAGCTCGCTCATATCCGCGTTTCTAGAAGATTTTTATATCTAAAAAATCTTTAAGTAGATTTTCGTTAAAATAACAAAAGAAAGAAAATCTTTAAGTAGATGTTTTAGGTATAAAAATCTTCTAGACTACTAACTACAGTTACGAGCTGTCGATCATCCAACTTCCATAATATGGATTATAATATAGACGCAATGATTACAACGCGGATATGAGCGAACTTTATCTGTTAATGTCTTGTTTGTTAGAGACGCTTGCACCGCAGGCTCTTATTAAATGTAAACCCGATCGTTTCATCGAATTTAAGTCTGGCTTGTCGAATTTCAAGATAAACGCTGATGTTTGATCTCAAATATGTGTACAATTAGGCCCACTTGCAGCATATTTGATAAATCTCGATTAATTAAAATCTAGCCTTAACCCATGTAAGAATGAGAAATTGACATTCATGGCATGACATGGTTTTGACATTTTTCCAATCCAATCTACCCAAGATTTAGTTGAATCGAGAGTAAGCCAAAATACTGCAAGTGAGCCTTACTCAAACTGTTAGTTCCTTATTAACAAATAAAGACTATGCTTGGATTAGTTTCTCCATATTTTGTCTCTGTTTATTCAAAGACAAAAATGGTATTTGAGTGATTTGAAAACACGGCGTAAGTAGTTTAAGCCTATTCCTAGGTTATTAAACAGGGGAGTTGAGTTTAAAAATATTACTGACCATCATGAGTCCTCCCAGCACGATATCTCCTTCCACCACCGCGGCGTGCTTTACAGGCCAAGCAGCCTCATCAGGAGGCTTCTTTTTGACCAGTCGTGACTTGCGAGACCCTTTGCCATCGGTTGATGCCTTAGTTCCCTTGCGGTCTCTACTTCCCAAACCTTGAGTGTCCGTCACGTTTTTAGCATTCACTTTTGCTTTTCTCCTTTTCGTTAGCCGTTTGCTTTCTGTTACATTTACCGGTGGAACACTGGTAGTAACGATTTTTGTAGTAGCAGCGATAGTACTTTCTACTGTTGATTCAGAAGACGATAGCTCAGTGCCATCTTCTGTGGCAAACGTTGCATAGTGCACGAGCTGACCGTAAGCTTGGAGTGGTGCTGCGCTCGGTTGAGGTTCCAGTTTACTTTTCAACTTCTTCTTTTTGAACAGTCTGGACATATCGAACGGCGATATAAGGGAGTGAGCTGCACGCTTATAGCGGTTTTGTTTTGTGTAAGCATGCTCTTCTATGAAGAAATAGTCGTCGAGTCCAAATGGTTGAAAGTGGTCTGAGACGATGAGCGATGTGTTGAGATATGCGCTAGTTGTGGACGCGACTGCTAGCATGGGGTAGGCCAGCAGCGCCCACAGAACTGCCGTATTGCTTCTCATACTGCTTCACCATATAAGTTACAACACTTTTACACCGCACATTTCCGTTAAGATTATCTTAATCTGAGAGCAATCAACGTTTTTCTCTGTCTAAGGCTTGTAGTCTTTCGTTCATAATTTTATTTGGAGATACGCAAATATTAGACTTTTCTTAATTTTTTTCGCATTATTTTTAGTGGCTTACTGGTGGTGTTTGGCGGTTATTTGAGTTAGAACTGTATTTATGAATAAATATCATTTTGAATAAACAGACTTTTCATCAATTCCCCATCACCGACAGATCATTATTATAGGTACTACTCATTACTTCTTACTTATTACAAAGCTCATATTTTAAACAACACTTCATTTAAACAAACTGTACAGAATAGTACTAGAATGAATACACCAACTTTCACATTCGTAGATAACGTAACACTAAATTGTGTACCTATTTAATATTCAAAACAAGTTTTTAAATCAAACTTTGCAATTTTTTGAAATTATGATGACTACTTTATTTCTGACTGTTTATATTTTTTAAACGTTTTAGGTTGTATATCTTTTCGTTTACCACCTTTCATGTCTCGACTTGTGTTAGATTTATCAATCGTTTGTTGTCACCATTTAGTAAAGTAGATCTTTTTGATTACCACCTTCTTCTTCGCAATTGTTTTAGATGTTCAATTGTTTTTTTTTTACTTTATATTTTAGTTTTTAGGACTCTAAAGCTACGGTGTTGAGAAGGTCGGTATCGAGAGTGCAGTCGTGGCAAGTTGGTCGCGGCGCGTCGGCGAGGTCGCGGCGGCGTTTTGGAGGCGGGCAACGCGCGCGGGGGCCGCTGACGAGTGCCGCCGCCGTCGCCGCGCGGGACCCGCACCGGAGCCGACGCGCGCAGGCGGACCACAACGATAGGGGTGGCCCAATAGGTGAAACACTACAGACCTACATTTAAACAGACATCATATACCATTCTCTATATGCTATTATTATATCTCTTATCTATTAGACAAGTCCGTCCGTCCGTCCGTCCGTCTGTCTGTGGTGCTGTTTCAGCGGCCAAACCGTAAGAGATAGATAAAGAGAATATTTAAGTTATAAGTTAAGAATAGTCTGATAAGACTACAGACCGGATTTGAGTAACGTAGCACTTCCGGTTTTCGAGAAATCACGAATTTCAAACGAAACCACACAAAATCTCCGAAGTTCTCAATTAATTAAATACATTTTTTTTTTGGTGAACGTTTGGTTCACTGGTTTGCTAGTTATTATTTAATATCGAGCAAAAAGCGGCAAAAACATCACGGCAGTATGAGAGCCCCTTTCAAATATTTATTTATTTTCATTAAATGATTTATTTTTAAGGAAAATATACAATACTTGTTGCCATTATTAAAATAGAGCAAATAATAGTAAAAAAAAAACAAGTTTTGTAATAATAATATAATAATAATAATAATGTTTATTTTATTCTCACCACAATACAAATATTTTGTTACAGACATAAAATATTGTTTATATTAACAACGGATATATTTACAGTAATATATTGTGGAGAGACTGGTGTCTAAACTGGGCAGTAAACTGCCTGTATAATAGAACACCAGGCCCCCAGCCCATATCCCTGCAAAATTATTAAAATTTATAATAATCCATATAACAGAACTGCTTAAGTTTAAAGCAAATTATTATTTATAATATGAAAAATGAGTTTGTGGTAAGTGTATATGTTGAATTGAGTGTATATTTGTAACTTAGTCATATGGGAGCCCCCTTCAATATTTGTTTTATTCTGCTTTAATGTTTGTTGCTATAGCGGCAACATAAATATATCATTCTGTGAAAATTTCAACTGTCTAGCTATCACGGTTCATGATAGACAGATAGCCAAAAAGACGGACAAAGAGATGGACCGCGGGTTCTTAGTAATGGGGTCCCGTTTTTACCCTTTGGGTACGGAAATCTAAAAACGAACGAGCGAGAAAAGCATAGGTCCCGGCGACCTGTTTTAATTCTATGATTTTTCAAGCTTTCATGGTACATTAAAATAGTATGTAAAAAAATCACCATAGACATCCAGAACGGTTACACAAATACACGGAAGAGGAAGAGCCTTGTTCTTCCTTTTGGCACTCGATGTACATACGAGTACGATTTCGTTACCTTTAAATAAGCTTCAAAGTAATTAGTACATGTCGTGGCAGTTTGTTGCTAATTCCAATCTACATATTTTTGTTGTAAAACCATGGAAATTTTAATATCTTTTAGTGGGTGTAACTGTTCTTATTAAAAAAAAATATCGATTTCGATCCTAGTCTGTGTGAAATACTCTATTTCAATAGTGGATGCGCGACTGGTTCGTGTGCTGAAGGGTGTAACGGGAGAAGAGGGATAAGTAAATTATTGGAAGTCTCACCAGTTCACCAACACTAAAAATTAAAATTCTTAAATGACATTGATGTCGATTCTGGCAGGGTCCTTTAGTCCTGGACTTGGACTTGACGTCGATGTATCCTGTGATATATGATGTGTTAGTTTTGGGTTTGGGATTGGGGGACCGTGCCGGAGTCGACACCACTGGCACAATACAATACAATAAAGTATTGCTTAAAAACAGCCTCTAACTACTATAAATATATAGGTATATCTTAATCTTAATAGTAAAAGTACTCATTCTTGTTTCCTAGTATATGTATATAATTTAAAATATATACTAACATGCTATAACCGTTAACAATTCCTTTTCAATAATAACTCTGAAAAGCAAAGCCTATCCATTAACCGTTAGTAAAATAAGTCACTTACTATATGCATAAACTATAAATGTAAAACATATTATGCTAAATTGTTGTCACTGTAATGAAAAACAATGTAAAATGAAAATGAAACCATCAATGTTGGGTTTGCAATAACCAATAACTCTTTAGATTATATGTATAAGCAAATATGATAGTAAACTTGTTAGTGGTTCTACAAATAAATTAAAAAAACAGTCAGCTGCGAAATAAGTACCTCAGATTGTCCAGCACTTTCTTAATACGAGTGGCCATTCGAAATACACAGTTTTTCTTCTGCAAAACACTAACACGATGTGCACAGCACGTACAGAGCACCAAGGATTGTATTCTTATACTTTTTGGAGTTTGACGACGAATGTAATGTTAACCGTGCGATGATAGTTCAAACACTAACGGTGAGGCGAGTACTGAAAGGGAAGCCAATTTATGGCCCAGGAGCTGGTAGGTATGAAGTAACTGGATGGAGATTAAAGGACTTACCCTCCTAGCACACATTAATAAAAATATATATATAATGACGTTCAGAATCCCAAAAGTGTTTTTATTTATTTTTAAGCATTTAACTGCTAGATGTTTAAATCTAAAGAAAGCTTTACTAGAAAAAAAATCCACGCGGACCAGGCAGCGGACAATGCACTGACCATTATGCTACCACGGCCCTATTCGCCGCGTCGAAATTTTCCTAGCCTTCTTTTTCTTTCTAGTAAACCTTTCTTTAGATTTAAACATCTAGCAGTTAAATGCTTAAAAATAAATAAAAACATAACTATAATTGCTATTTCTTCTTTCAAATGTTTAATACTTGAAAAAGTATTCATTTGACATTGTGGGTTACCTACAATGCGAAGAGATGGCGCTGCCTTGCAGCTAGGTAAATTTCGACGCGGCGAATAGGGCCGTGGTAGCATAATGGTCAGTGCATTCGCCCGGATTGCGAAAGGTGCGGGTTTGAGTCCCGTCCGCTGCCTGGTCCGCGTGGATTTTTTTTTCTAGTAAACCTTTCTTTAGATCCCAAAAGTGGTCGAACCGAGTTTCAGGTCACATTTGGTTACACATAAAGCCTCGTCTGGCAGTATAGACCATTGATATTTTATAATTACTGTAATTTGGCCTAAACAAATAGTTTTGGTGCATTCAGATGATTATTAGTTATTTCCGAGCAGACGAGACAGAGAGGAGCTCGATGACGCAAGTGGTTAGCGCGTTCGGCTGCGATCGTTGAAGTGAAGCAATTTTCGCAGTGGTCGGTCATTGGATGGGTGACTTAAAAATTTTCTATCTCGAGCTCCTCCGTGCTTCGGAAGGTATTTTAAGCCGTTGGTCCCGGCTGCATCTACAGTCGTTAACATCCACCAATCCGCACTGGGCCAGCGTGGTGGGTCATGGCCCAAACTCCCTATTCCATCCATAGGGAAGGCCTGTGCCCCAGCAGTGGGGACATTAAAAGGCTGATGGTGTTGATGAGACGAGTCAATGAATTTTCGGTCTTTTCGGTTACGATTCGAATTTCCGTTTCAATGGCGGCTCAGTGTTACGAGGCATTGTATTCTATCCCTGACGAGCTCGATGTAGTTAACCAGGTCGGTAGTCCAAAATAGTAGTAACTAAGTGTGGCAATTACGAAATAAATATCGCTGCATTGAATGCTAGGAGCAAATACTATTTGCTCTTAGTGGGAATGCATTACCCGTTTAAGGTTTCTTAAAATAACCAAACACAATAATAAAAAAAATGGGTGCGTGTACTTATGTAGGCGCGTGAGAAGTTATCCTTCTTTGGCATCGTTTAAAATTAGTTTTTAATTGCATGCAAATAATTAATTACAATAAATTACTAAAAAGTCTGGAAAAGTACACAGTCAATAAAGTTCAGTTTTAATTTGAAAAAATAAATAAATAATCAAAATATTCAATTAAAATCGCTACTGAATATAATTTATTAGAACATATGTGATTTGCACTTGTATGAAACTCAAACACGTATTCCGAATATACAAACTAGAAACATGTGGATAATTATTATAAATATGAATACCTATAATAACTGTTACTTTATTACAAAAAATAAAGATGTGGTTGTTGGTTCTACTACACCAATGGTCAAGAGATGGCGCTGCAGTCTCCTGAATCGCGCTTTGGTTCCGTTGTTCCAGATTAATAAATACTTTTGATAGGCCTTCACAATGCAGTCGTTAGCACCCACTAAATAGAGATTCTATTTCTATTTTGTTGGTAGATTTTTTTAATGTGCGGTAAACACAAAAGTAACGCATGAAGTTGGTCTAAAGCTAAAGCGACCAACTTCATGCTGTTAAAATTTTGTGTTACAGTGATGCGCGCGCATCTTAAAATTTCACTCTCATCAATTTTTCATAACGCGCCTAAAGAAGTATAACTTCAATAATAATAATAAATATTTCCGACACTCACACCAATTAACCTAGCCCCAAAGTAAGCACTATAAGGCTTGTGTTATGGGATGCTAGGGTAACGGATAGGATACATATACTGTACATATATAAGTATATTTATATAAATACATATTAAACATCCATGACTGGAGTACAAATGCTCGTATTCATCACACAAACATCTGCCCCCACCGGGATTCGAACCCGGGACCTCTCGAGTCGGCGACAGCCATGAAACCCGGCGTACAAACCACTCGGCCACGGAGGTCGTCAATATATGTACTGTTTGTAATTGAGGAGTTCCCTCGTTTCGTCTTCCGAAATACTCAACAGATCTTCACCTTCTAAATGTGCAATGAAATAATCTTGTTACTGAAGCTACTTAATATCACTGTTCAGTATTTGTTGTTTTAATACAGAATTTCAAATTGAAATTTTGGTATATGATGTGCCATATGCATGCACATCATA